TGTGTAATAAAAGTTGATGGTGTTATTTTAGGACAAGTACAGAAATTTAAGTATCTGGGCACATGGATAACATCAGATGGAAGATGTATAACTGAGATAAGAAATAGAATAGGACAGGCAAAAACTGCATTTCATAAAATGAACAACATCTTATGCAATATATCCTTGTCATTGAGAGTTAGAAAAAGAATTCTTGCTTGCTATATACATCCAGTTTTAACATATGGCTGTGAATCCTGGACAATCGGTAGGCAGGCCAAACAATTTCTGGAGGCCTCGGAGATGTGGTTTTACAGAAGAATGCTTAGAATACCTTGGACAGCCAAAAAGAGCAACCAAGAGGTTTTGAAAGAGGCGGGAGCCCGAAGACAACTTATCACAGACATCAGAAGGAGACGGTCATCATTTTTTGGCCATGTTATGAGAAGAGGGAAAATAGAACATGTTGTGATAGCTTGCTGCTGACTGGCTGAATTTTGCAGCTAAAATGTTCTCTGGGGTAAAGAAGACAGTCTCATGCCATCCCTCCTTGGTTGCCTTTTATGACAAGCATACTATGCTAGTGTTGACATTCTTGCCTTCCCTAATTGAACACCAAGCACCACAAGTACCCATTTAAAATCTCTGTTAAACATCTTTTTCAGTCACGTTCACATGCGTTTTTGTGCACATCTGTTTTACTGATCTGGCTTTTACAGACTATTGGTTCCTCACATATTGGGCAGATGCACTCTAACTTCAAAGGCGACACCTGTAACAGTCGACTTGTGCAACATGCCCATCACGAGGCAGTGGGTCTATTCTTGTTTCCCCCACAATAGAGCCCCAGAACCCACATGGAATCTTGACTAAACGTAAAAAATATTAACCACGAAAAGGAAACAATTCATTTATCACTTTATTTAAAGAGAATAAATAGCACAGAAGAAAATATGATGCATAACTATTCATTTGTTTGCATGCAACTGAAATGAACATTATGTACAAATCAAAGTTCTTGAGAATCCAGATTTATGAACAAATGTGGACGGAAATCTGTAGAGCCAGTTGGCATTCATTCAGTCCATCTTTTTTTTTTTACTGCGATACATGGTCATTTTACCTTGGTAATCTTTCCACTTCTACTCTGGGATACAGGGCCATTTTACCTTGGTAATCTTTAAACTTTTACTCTAGGATATAGGGTCATTTTACCTTGGTAATCTTTCCACTTCTACCCTAGGTTATAGGGCACTTTAACTTGGTAATCTTTCTTCTACTCTAGGATACAGGGTCATTTTATCTTGGTAATCTTTCCACTTCTACCCTAGGTTATATGGCACTTTACTTTGGTAATCTTTCTTCTACTCTGGGATACAGAGTCATTTTGTCTTGGTAATCTTTCCACTTCTACCCTAGGTTTTAGGGCACTTTACTTTGGTAATCTTTCTTCTACTCTGGGATACAGGGTCATTTTACCTTGGTAATCTTTCCACTTCTACCCTAGGTTATAGAGCACTTTACTTTGGTAATCTTTCTTCTACTATAGGATACAGAGTCATTTTATCCGGGTAATCTTTCTTCTACTCTGGGATATAGGGTGATTTTACCTTGGTAATCTTTCTTCTTCTCTGAGATACAGGGTCATTTTACCTTAGTAATCTTTCTTCTAATCTGGGATCCAAGGGCACTTTATCTTAGTAATCTTTCCACTTCTACCCTGGGATATAGAGTACTTTACCTTTGGAATCTTTCCACTTCTACCCTAGGATAAGGTTTCCTTATACCTTGGTAATATTTCCTCTCACCCTGGGATATTGGTACAACTTACTTTCACAATCTTTCCACTTCCACCCTGGGATATCAGTGCACTTTACCTTGGTTATCTTTCCACTTCAACCCTGGGATATCAGGGCACTTTACCTTAGTTATCTTTTCACTTTCACCCTGGGATATCAGTGCACTTTACCTTGGTTATCTTTTCACTTCTACCCTGGGATATCAGTGCATTTTAACATGGTTATCTTTTCACTTCCACCCTGGGAAATCAGTGCACTTTACCTTGGTTATCTTTACACTTCCACCCTAGGATATCAGTGCACTTTACCTTAGTTATATTTTCATTTTCACCCTGGGATATCAGTGCACTTTACCTTGGTTATCTTTCCACTTCCACCCTGGGATATCAGTGCACTTTACTTTGGTTATCTTTTCACTTTCACCCTGGGATATCAGTGCACTTTACCTTGGTTATCTTTTTACTTCCACCCTGGGATATCAGTGCACGTTACCTTGGTTATCTTTTCACTTCCATCCTGGGATATCCGTGCACTTTACCTTGGTTATTTTTCCTCTTTCACCCTGGGATATCAGTGCACTTTACCTTGGTTATCTTTCCACTTCCACCCTGGGATATCAGTGCATTTTACCTTGGTTATCTTTCCATTTCAAGCTGGGGATCCAGGGGTAGCCTAACTTGTTAATGTACCCTTTTTTAACATAGAGGGTAGAAACACTTTGCAGCTGTTTTTATCCCCTCATAATTACACAGTATCTGGATTTTCAGAATCTAGTGAATTTAACCCTACACTCCCGTGTTAGTGCACACTTGGTGCTATCTCTCAACCACAGGCAATCCAATAAGCAAATAAAACCTGTCTTCAGACAAAAGGGTCAGAGTGACAGATCGATCCAATGTTGTGAGTATAACAGATGCATAAAGTATGCTGTGAAAAGTGGAGAATGCAGAGTGGCAAGTATCGCTTTTGAGGTCGTCTGTAGTTAGCGCCCTTTGCATCTTTTCTTCGATAAGCGCACCTGCATTGGAAAATTACCAGGAGGACAGACTGGCTAGTTCTGCATAAACAAAATTACCAGGAGGACAGACTGGCTAGTTCTGCATAAACAAAATTACCAGGAGGACAGACTGGCTAGTTCTGCATAAACAAAATTACCAGGAGGACAGACTGGCTAGTTCTGCATAAACAAAATTACCAGGAGGACAGACTGGCTAGTTCTGCATAAACAAAATTACCAGGAGGACAGATTGGCTGCTTCTGCATAACTAGGTGGTAAACTAATAACGAAAAGTCAGATGTGGCCAATGCTCCTTGAGAGCAAGTGAACCAGGCGGAAGCACAAATACATCATTAATGTGTGGACCGAATGGTTCAGCAGATGGTGACCAGGGAATCTGGATGACACTCGACACACATACGAAAGGCAAGATGGACACACAATCAAGCTGCTACTGATAACATCAGCACTGGAACTCTTCGCTGGCTGCTGATGATAAGGACAGTGCTTGTGGGAATGTACCAAGTGCTGCAATGCCAGGCCTTAGCTCAACTTAATATGACCTTATGTGTGGCAATGATAATGAGGCTGATGATGATAATGAGGCTGATGATGATTCTGAGGCTGATGATGATGTAATACACAAATGGTCATTCATAAATGCAAAGAGGCAATACACATAATTATTTAAAGCATTCAGTTATCACAGATTTGACAGAAGGGAGATGACTGTGCACAGTTCAGTCACCTTTGGTGGCTTTGTCGCATAATAACAGCAGGTGGCCGATGGGCAATCAGCAAGTCAGAAAAGAATTCAAATGGTCACAGTGCTATTCCACAACACATGAACAATTCAAATCACAGACAACTTAGCAGAAAGATTCTAACAGACATGAGAAAACTGTTTAATCCTCTAAATGTGCTTCTCTGAAAATCAGAGTTTTTGGTCTGTTGACAAATGAGATATCTCGATCATCGTTTTTCACCGGCTGTAAGCTGCGGTGGAAAGTTCTGGCTGTTCGTCCATTCAAACTCTGGCTTTGTGCCAGGGCCTGAGCTTTGCGTGAACATACATTTTACTGGCTTATTTGTGTGCAGTTCCTTGCAGTCAACCTCTGGACTTTAGTCTTGATCCAGAACCTCAGTGCTGTGTGCACATCAGTTTAACAGATCTGACTTAATTGTATGCAGATTGTTGGTTCCATGCCTCTCAGGCAGATGCACTCCGACTTCGAAGGAAGCCCCCATTAAGCTGACTCTTACAACATGCTTGTTGTGGAGGCAGTGGGTCTGTTTTTGTTTTTCCCAACAATGGGGCCCTGGAACCCACACAGTGAAGCTGAATGAACTAAAGGGAAACTTAAAAAAAACTGTTATTTTTTAACAAGAACTTGGCTGTCGGTGCAAATCAGACAGTGATCCCAAGAAGCAGAATACTGGTCTAGACCAATCTACAACATTCTACAGTCATCCCAGAAACATGTTCCGAATGAGTGGCCTGGTAACACAGACAGCATCCACATTTCTTTTAAAGTTGGAGTGCATCTGCCTGAGAGGCGAGGAAACCAACAGTCTGCATATAAAAAAGTCAGATCTGTGAAATGAATGTGCACACAACATTTCAATCCTGAAACAAGAGAAAAGTCAGATAATACTACTAAGACTTTCCCAAGTGATGAAGAAGACATCACTAAATTTTAGCCTACTGGCAATGAAATACCTCAAATGCATCGATGAAATATGATCTTCTTTTTCTTGTTAGCATTCACTGGCTGTACTCTAGGGGAAATTCCTGGTTGTTTGTCCATTTCTGGACTCTGGTCTTGCTCCACAACTTGAGTTTGTGTTCACACCCATTTTACATATCTCGCTTATTCGTATGCAGACTGTTGGTTCCATGCTTCTCAGGCAGATGCACTTTGGCTTGGAAGAAATGCCTCTAATCAGCGGACTATTATGGTATGCTTGTTGGTGGTATGGAGGGGGTCGGGAGGTCTATTAATTTTACTACCCAGTATGGGACCCCAAAACCCACAAAGGGAAACCGTATATGAACAAACAATAAATAAACTAAACATAGCAAAGCTGAAGTGAAGAACTTGTCAATCAGACTGATGACCAGACACAGGGTAGAGCCAGCTATCTCATCCATTATGACAGGAAACACAACATGCTGAAGTTTGAAGAATTCTGGGATGGCATGACACACATCTACAACCTCAAGGTCAGGAGACCAGTTCATACCACTTTTTAGTCTTTGGGTCATAGTAGCAGTTGAGCTTGGGGTCAAAGAGCAGATCTAACTTTTCCTCTTCCTCGCTGGTTTTATTACCCTTTGACCTCTGACCTGTAAAATCAAAGATATTTTATGTAAAACTATTTTACATTACACAAATGGTCTTTACTGCCTGCGTTTACCACTTTTACAAATGTTTAGGACAGGAAAGTTGTGAGCCAGAGTATTTACGGTCAAAGGGCTAATGCAGTCGCCACAAACTGTGCAAGTTTTTATTTCTGCCCCGACCGACAGACAACAACAAAAAAACTACTATCCCTCACTGCGGATCAAACCCTGTTTTCCCGCATGAAAGTTCAACACTCTAATCACCTGGCTAGCAGCTCCTCAAAAAATGTAACTGTCACTGCAGAGATGTGGTTTTATAGACAAATGATGAGAACAAGCAGGAAAGGTGAAGAGTAATGAAGATGTCTTAAAAGAAACTGAATCACGAAGAGAACAGACTACCCAAATCAGAAGGCAACAACCTACATTCTTTGGTCGCGTCATGAGGAGAAAACTCGAGTACATTGTGATGGTGGGAAAGTTTGGAGGAGAAAAGAGACAGAGGGAGACCGAGAGAGAGAAGATGCTGGACAGTCTGACCTCCTGGCATGGAAGATTATCTGTGACACAGGTGAGCGAAAGTACAAGAGACAAAAAGTGGTTGATAGACATGATAACTAACACTAAAAGGCACAGACTATAAGAAGAAGAAGTTAAAGGAAAAAATACTACAAGAAAAAAGCTGACTCCAAGCCAATGAAAAGACAGGTAAAAAGAAAATCACGTAGAAATAAAAAGATAGGGAGACAGAAAATTACGTAGAAATCATCATCATCATCAGGTGCCTTGCCGACTGGGGTGGGCGATCATGCCTCTCCATAATCCGCGATCTCCTGCAGCATGTATCAGTTCTACGTAGAAATACAGTCAGCTAAAAAAATATATATACACAGTTATCTCCCAGCACTAATATGCATAAACATTTTCATAGAGGCTATTGGTTTAAAAACATCATCATTATGTGACACAATGATTCCATCATGTGTAGATCAAATTACGGTAGCTATGTGTTGTATTATGGTTATGAAAAGTGTCTGGGGGCTAATAGGAATCCCTTTCAGCACTTGTGGTAACTTCTTACATCAACTGTAACTTGTAAGCATCTCTTCGTGTCTGAATAAATTCAGTATATTGTTATTTTAAAACTCCATGCAGCACAATGCTACCGTAATGTATTCAAAGACCACAAATATCATACATGTCGGTACATTTCACTGCTGAGTGACAGTATACATTTTACTGGCTAACTATGTAAATACAACAGGAAATGAGATATGTTACCGAGCGCTGCAGCATCGTCAGACAGATCATCAGAGATGCCTTCCATGGTGCCTTCCAAATTCTGGCGCCCAGACATTGGTCCGATGGGTGGGCTGATCACCCCACTCCAGTCTCTGCAAAAAGAACACAAGTTGGTGCATCACGGCAAACAACTGAATATTTTGTTCAAGAGAAATTTCCACACCTGGCACTGCTTGATTCAATAGCATGTTAACCATCATAAATGATTAGAGCAAATGTTCATTAACATAATGAACCATGTGAAGCTAGTCAGATCTCAACCAAGCCCTCACATATAAAAATATACACCCAAAAACTGATCCTGCTTAGATATCACTAAAACAACATCAAGATATGAAAAAAATATACACAAAAAATCCACCTATTTAGTATCAATGTGCTCCCTCCCACAGGTAACTCCCCCCCCCCCCCCCCCCCCACCTCCAACCCAAGCATCAAACTATTCAGTATCAATTCCCCCCACCCAAATAAAACTGCATGTAACTGAGAGAGACTGGTGTAGAATTTTCTGCCAAACAGGCATAAAGTATAATCCTATCATCATCATGTGCCATGCCCAAAAAAAGTGTAGGTGGCCAAGCTTTCTCTCCTCACAAATCAACAGAATCATGGATCAGGCCAGTGCTCTTGTCTTGGTCAGGATTATATATCTCTGCCTTCCCTTTTGTTCCTTTCTCATCAATCTTCACAGCTGTAACCAAGTTCTTGACCTGTAACCAAGTTCTTGACCTGTAACTAAGTTCTTGACCTGTAACCAAGTTCTTGACCTGTAACCAAGTTCTTAAACTGTAACCAAGTTCTTGACCTGTAACCAAGTTCTTGACCTGTAACCAAGTTCTTGACTTGTAACCAAGTTCTTGACCTGTATCCAAGTTCTTGACCTGTAACCAAGTTCCTGCTCTGTAATCAAGTTCTTGATTTGTAACCAAGTTCTTGATCTATAACCAAGTTCTTTATCTGTAAGAAGGTTTTTGACCTGTAACCAAGTTCTTTTGAGTTCAACCTCCAACTGAGAGCAAAAACATGCAAATACAAATCACCAAAACATTTACTAACAAACCGAGGATTTGATGAGGTCAGAGTGTCACTGCTTCGTCTCGACTTCATTTCATCCTGGTAGTTGTGGGCCATCTGATTGAGAGCCTGAAAATGTATGTACAAACGTATGTACACAATACTTACCCAAGCATAAACACACATGTATATATGTCAATGTAAACAAACAAGTAAGTAAAGATCACACTCCTTCACAAATTCTCCAATGCACTCTGTCATACAAACACACACACAAACACATTCTCAAATAGATGAACACTCACACACATATTCCCTCATACACCCACTCGCTTATACACATACTTTCACACACATGAATGCACTCTCACACACACAATAACTCTCTCCTACACACCCTCTTTCTTTGAGCTTCTGAAATCAAAAGGTTAAGGTCTCACACTGACCCTGACCTTGGAGCACCATTATGTGATGCAGGCCGTCTGCAGACTTGGGTTCCCAGTCTGGTCAATATGCCAGTCTCCTTTAGTTGTTTGTTTGTTTGCACTCACTGGCTGTAAACCCCAGCAGAGGGTGCTGGTTGTTCCTCCATTTCTGGACATTGGCTGTGTTTCCGGATCTGAGTTTTGCATGCGCCTTTTTTACAAACCTGTGCAGTCTGCTTCAGTCTGCTTAACAGGCAGATGCACTCTAACTCTTGACTCAACTCATGCATTCCAGCTTCCAAAGAAACATCAGTCCTATCTGCAGCCAATCTGAATCTCTTGTTGCCATTTAGTAGGATTAATCGAACGAAATCTTAACTTTTGTCATTTAGTATGAGACTTGTGAACTGACTCATTATACAGTGAGTTTACTCAAGATGGTGTCCCCATATAGGGGGAAAGGGGGGGGGGGGTTGTTTGCCATAATTTCTGCACCCAGAGGATTAATAATCAAGTTTCCAATCCCTTACTTCTTCTATCTTACACACACACACACACTCACGTACGCACGCACACACACACACTTCTATCAGATGGTCTCACAATGAACTGACCTAATTTATGCATCAGAATGCTTCTTAGAAAGTGTACTAGTGTGTCTGTGTCTACATGTGTCTGTGTATTTATGTGTGTAGATGTCTGTACATATGTGTGCCTGTGTGATGTGTGTACATGTGTGGGCACACATATTGTAACATCTTGCCTCATCAATGTTCCCAGACTTACCGGAGCTTTCCATGTGCTAAAACTGGTATCATCATCACTGGTGGTGGCAGGTGACTCGCTGTACAGGTGTGTCATCTCCGAGGGATTCAGTGTTTGATGGAAGCTATGCCCTGTCTGCAGGGATGCTGCAGGTTGTGGTGCTGGCAGTACATCCTCTAGTTCAGCTTCTGCCTCCCGAGCGATGGTGGCCAACATTCCTGCCTCAAATGAGTCTGTGACGTCTGCTGCCAGGTACCTAGTGTGGTCATATGTCTTCTGGAAGACAAATTTTCATTAACATGTGAGCAAAAGTAAGATTAAATAGAAAAATGATTAATGAAGGCAACAGAAGAAGATTCTGGAACATCCGGCATCATGGATTGGAAATAATTCTACATGGTCCCCTAACCTAATATCTTACGACACACACTTTTAAAAGCCTGAACAAAATATGGAACTCTATTTAGTTTTAGAACCAAATTATGTATGTCCAATTCTAATATTATTTCAGTTTTAATATATGCCAGTGAAAGCTGGAGAAACACTTCAGATAGGAAATGAAAGTTAAATACATTCAAAAAAGAATGCCTGAGGAAAATGTCGAACAAGAAATGGGATGAACTGATGAAGATTTAAGAAATAAGAGAAATGTCTGGGCAACCACTAAGAATCAACAGAGAAATCCCGGGTTTCACCAGTTGGCTGTTCTTGTGGAAGCCAAGCGTACGGATTAGTGGAGGACATGTGTCACATCATAACCTCCACGGAGGTCTGTGGCCTTCTCATTTAAAAACCTCTGACTGACTGACTTTCTACCCCACCAGGACATCACACAAGCGATAAACACCCGATGACACAATGTGCCACCATGCGGATGAGGATCACCGTGGACAGGTCCCAGAAACCGCGTTCAGCCATTAGGCCATATTTATGGCATGGCTATATTGCGACCCCTGGCAAGAGCAAGGTTGGGGATTCAAAAAACGAAAAATTTCTGGCTTAAAAGGATGGTGAATATAAAACCTCTGACACGAGACTGCAAAGAAGAAGAGAAGAATGATGATGATATGGGTAATAACTTAAACACAAAATAAAGGATAGGAAGGTGTAGTGTCAGCTAATTCAGACTGCATGTTTCCACAGGAGATAAAGAGTATTTGAAGAAAACGAAGAAGAAGAAGAGAAATAAGACAAAGAAGAAGAGGAAGAAACGCAGAACTTACATTACCGCTGGATGTCATCACATCTGCTTCTGTGAAGGGGTTGTTTATCTCCCTTAGAGATTTCTTGCTCATCCGGGACAAAGGACTGACTTCACTGCCTAAGTTCTCATTGTCAGAATAAAGTCTGGGGTCAAACTCTGGTCTCTGATTTGGGCTCGATGAAATTTTGGGTGCTATATTCACAGATCTGGATTTCGTGGCCAAGTGACCTCTAGATTTGGGGCTAGAGGTTAGAGAAGAAACATAATTGCTGCTATGGTAACCACTGCTCTGACTATTGTTGTTGTGGTTCAAGTGTCCACTGTGACCTATAAAACGCTGTGACCCGGCACTTCCTGTCCCGCCGACAGATCTCTGCATCCTCAGCTGATGCTGCAGCAGCTCCGCAGCGATGGCTGGGTCATCATCACTACTGTTGTGGCTGACAAAGTCGTCCTCAAGCCGAGCTCCACGGTTTGAAGAAGTTTCTGTTCGCTTGATATTTGACCGTAAGTTTTTCTGAGAACTCTTTCGAAACTGAAAATAAATAAAACATTACTTGCAACACATTGATAAAACAGATTACTTGCAAACACAACTTTAAAATATCCTTAAACTGTCTGCAAACATGATGATATGTGTCAAGTTTATCAGTTTCAGATTCCCAGAAAAATCATTTTGAGAGGACAGATTAACCACACAGATTAACAATATATATTATAACCACACAGATTAACCATATATATTAACCAGACAGTTTAAGCACACGTTAACCACACTGACTGACCACATATGTCAGTAGAAGAAAAAAAAACTACCAGGGTGTGCGAGTCTCGGCCATCGGTTCAATAAGCCAGGGCACTGAAGACGATCTTTATCGAGACCCGTAATGCTATTACATTCTAGAGATTTGTCTGTGAGATAGAAAATATGCATGCAGTTTGACTTCAGTGTCTCTTCACGTGGTGGACCCTGTTCTCCCCAGCAATCCAGTTGAAGGTTGTGGTCTCAACCCCCAGCGGGAAACTGGATGGGACAACAAATGAGGTAAAGGCGAAAGACAAATGTATGAGCCTACTCTCCTCGAGTATGATCACAGTCTACCCTAGCAAAACAAGGTGCTGAAGTCGGAGGCAACCAGCCAAGAGGCGCACCACAGCAATCAGGATGCCACGCATACACGCCATGGAAATATGTCTCTGCACCGATTTTGACACATTAAGGCAAACCTTTTGGCCAGAAAGAACAACAGTGGAACGTAAACTCTATGGACCACTGAATGAACTAACAACGACAGTGAAATTTATACAAGAGACAAAACTGCTGATATAGATAACTTATTTCAGGCGAACGAAAGAAGAAGGAGAAGAACTTCAGTGTCTCCTCGTGTGTCTCCCAGGGTCCAGACACCTACCATCCTGCACTCATCATCATCCTGTTCTGTCACCATGTACCACTTAGGGCTTGCAGTCTAGTTCTGCATTCCACTCTATTCTGTGTAATCATTTTGATATCATGGATGGAATCTAGTCCAGCACCATTGGCTTCTCTTAATAACAATCATCTTAGTTTTTTCTTGGACTTCCTCACTGGTTCTTTTGTTTCTTATTTCAGTGCCTGTTTAGTATTCCCTGTCCGCTTCTCTTCCCGACGTAATTGATATATTGCCATCTTCTTGTTCTTATAAGAGTTAAAACAACTGATTGTTTTCAACATTTCTGTTATTTCTTCCCTTAGTGTCCTACCAGGACCCACAGAAAAGAAATATTTGTTCGGCTGACCAGACGTGGCAACTGGCAGAGACTGAAACCTGCTACATCCATCGCTCAACCATGACAATAAAGATAAATGTCCTTCACCTGTTTGACCTCATTCTCAGCCATGCCTGGAGATATGTTCCTTCTGATGCCAGCAGACTTGGGTGGTGATGTGAAATAATGGAGTTTGTTTTTCTCGCCAGACGTTTCCCTGAAATAAATATTGTTTAAACAAATAAGTCGAGTAAAATAGAGATGAAATTAAGAGGGAAAAGCAGCAGGTTAAAAAGGGTGAAGCTGAGGACGTTATTCAGCAGATGTGTTCACTGGAAGACACAGAACCAGGTGAGGAATGGGTACACGTGCCAACAAAGTGCTGCATGACCTTTCCTTGTTGGCATCCGTCTAGACAGAAAATGCAGACAATAAAGTATAGCCACGTTGGAGGCAAAATTTCCAGCCCTGGTTTTCAAGAATCTTATAGTGTTGGGAGGGGGGGTGGGGGGGGGGTGGGGGGGGGGGGGGGGGGGGTTGATGTTATTTAAGCAAATGGGTCTGTTGTTCAAGGAGCTTATGTTTTACAGACCATTTTTATGTATCACGTTCTACAAAATTATCATCATTTTTACATTTTATAGACCACTTTATTCAACCTATGTATCACATTGCACAAAATTACTCATCATTTTTACATTTTACAACTTATGTTTCACATTCTTCAAATTACTTATTACTTTCACATTTAACAGATCATTTTTAACAACTTATGTATTACATTCTACAAATTACTCCTCAGTTCTACATTTTAAAGATCACTTTATACAACTTATGTATCCCATTCTAAAAATTACTCATCCTTTTTACATTTTACAGATCACTTTATACAACATATGCATCACATTCTACAAATCACTCATTTTTACAAAATAGTCATCATACTCTACACAACTCTAAAGGTAGGCGTTGACTAAATGGGAACATCCATTGAAATTAGAGTGCATCTGCCTGGGAGACAAGGAACCAACAAGCTGCATACTAATAAGCAAGATCTGTAAAACTGATGTGCAGGTAAAACTCAGGTTCTGGAACAAGACTAAAGGCCTGAAGTGGATGAACAACCAGAACTTTCTGTTGGAGTTTTACAGCCTGTGAACACTATGAAGACAAATACATTTTACCACTTACTCTACAAGACACTCATCATTCTGTGCATCTTTCTCATCAATCCTACAATTTACTGATCACTTTTTACAACTGAAATATCCCATTGTACAACTCATTACTTTATACAATTTAATGAACACCTTTTACAACATACATATCACATTGTTCAACTTTCTCATTACTTTCTACAATTTACTTATCACATTCATCACTCTACACAACTTACTCATAACTCTACAAAACTTACTCATCACTCTACACAACTTACTCATAACTCTACAAAACTTACTCATCACTCTACACAACTTACTCATAACTCTACAAAACTTACTCATCACTCTACACAACTTACTCATCACTCTACACAACTTACTCATCACTCTACACAACTTACTCATCTATCTACAAAACTTACTCATCACTCTACAAAACTTACTCATCACTCTACACAACTTACTCATCACTCTACACAACTTACTCATCCCTCTACACAACTTACTCATCACTCTACACAACTTACTCATCACTCTACAAAACTTACTCATCACTCTACACAACTTACTCATCACTCTACACAACTTACTCATCACTCTACAAAACTTACTCATCACTCTACACAACTTACTCATCACTACACAACTTACTCATCACTCTATACAACTTACTCATCACTCTACACAACTTACTCATCACTCTCCTCATACTCTCCCGGATGAGAGCTTTCACTTGCAGAAGTGGATAAATTACTGTCATCATCATCATACTCCTTGTCAACCCTCTTCTCATCAAGGTCAGAGCCTAGTCTGTTGTCCAGAGTTGGCAAATTTTTATCAACAGGCTCCTTCTCGCCGGCGCCACCAATGTCGCTATTTGTATTACGGCTGACCCGATTCCTCTGGCTAGCAGCGTCAGCAGATCTGGGACCTGTCCTAGAGAGCAGCGAGATGATGTCTGCCACGGAATCATACGCTCCATGTTCTCCAGAGATCCCATTCTCACCTGAAAGTTCCAATAATTGTTCAAACATTTATTATTCTAAATAAGAATTCTAATCCTCAGGCTCTGTAGCATCAATTTAATGGGCACCTTTCCGTCTTTCCAGACAACAGTGTTATATTCTGCTATGAGAAGGCATGGGACTCACAGTCCATGCAATGTCGAGTGTGACTGGCAAGACCCGCCGGCATTAAGAAAAGTATTTCAAAATTATAACCATTATGGCATGCTTGGGGATGGGGAGGGGGGGGGGGGTGGTCTATTCTTCTACCCCCACCCCAAATTGGGGTCTTGGGGCCTTAACCCACAAGGGGATTAATAGAATATGACACATCGTGTCAATTTCTTTTGTGAGTGTTAAGAAAAATGAACAAAAATTTATTATGTGGGTGGGGATTATCGGGAAAACTTCCACATTAATCCCATTCATTTTTTAACAAGACATAAAAATGTTGCCATGAAAATGTTTCAGTGTCATCTTCCTCTTCTTCTTTCATTCGCATGAAATAAATTATCTATATCTGCAAAGCTGTCTCTAGTATGAATTTCACTGTCATTTGCAATTCACTAAGCGGCCCATTCTGCGGGTATTCATCATCAAGTAGACTGAGGGTGGCTGTTTTGCGCTGCACACTGTTTTGTTCTTCCTTGTCAAATACCCCTTTCACTTCAGTCTTGATGTGTATTGGAAACTTATACTCCTCTCTCCAGGGAGTCCGTTCTGGGACAGCATTTAAGGATCTATCAGTTGCAGGTAAATCAGTGGTTTGTCTGCCAAGCCGTTTGGCCTGGTGGATAAAACTACTTCTCTTTAGTCGTCCCAAAGCTAAATTTTGGAATCTTTCATTCATAGGGTGACTGGGCATACTAAGAAATCAGTGTCATCTAAAGATTTATGTAATCGTCATTATCATCTTCCATCATCATCACCACCACTATCGACACGACCATCTTTCACCTCGTCTATTTTACTGACTCCTCCTGTAGCAAATTAAAGACGAACCTGGGTGTGACATCAACATACACATAGAAGACAGCACATGCTCATACAACCCTATATATACATATCTAATATGTAACTTCACTAACACCCATATACAGACATACACCTAATCATACACTATCACCCATATATACATAATTACCCAGGCATGGGTAGAACGAACAAACAAACTTTATTTTCAAAGGGTTCAGAATCTTACATTTTGCCCTTCTGGCCTCACTCCATGCATACATTATTCCTGCATACATCATTTTAGTAGATAATAATAAAATTGGGCACCATCGACAACATCTTAGTAACAATGTGCTCTAAGTATGCCGACAATTATACAATAATTAATAAATCTTGGTGGAAATCAACAATATTCTCAGGACACTATTATCTTCTAAGGAGGCATGCAGTCTGTAGTAAGTTAATATTTAAAAAGCTACCAAATCTATTTATAGGGGTCGTTGATATTTTTGATTGGTTGTGGAAGTTGGTTCCACAGATGAGCTGCAGAGTACACCAAGCTGGTTTTGTCCAAGTCTATTCTAGGTTTAGGAATGTGTAATATGTTTAGGCGTTTGCTAAGTCGTCCATTATACTTAAAGAATGACCAGAGGTAATCAGGAGCATTTTTTAATCAGATTTTGTTAATAACCTTGGCCTTATTAAAAAGATGTCGTTTATGGTGGAACGGTAATAACTTTATGTATACTGGAACTGTCTCTTCCAAGATTATTACTGACTAAGCGTACAGCTCTTTTTTAAAGTGCTTTAAGCGGTTCAATGATTGAATTAGGACAGTCCTCTCATACTGTGGAGCAGTAGTCTAGATAGACAGGTAGGTAAATGTCTGTCAAGGTAGGCAAACGAACGAACATTATTTCCAAAGGGTAATAAATTGGGCAGACAGGTCCTTTTACATATGGTCCTTCCAAGCATTCATACTTTATACGGCAATTGCGTTTTATATATCAAGCATATTTTAACAGTTAGGTGGGTAAAGAGACAGGTGGGAGACAGAAAAATTACTTTGGAAGACACAGATAAACAGGCAGGTAGGATGGCTTCTGAAAACCGCAACATCAATATCCCAGTATTTAGGTTACCTTTTCTAGGAGACTGGACCTCTGGAACATCGGGACCAACACCTGAATCCCTTTTTCTCCCACCCCTAGTTGGAAAATCACCTGATCCAAGACCTGTGCTTGCTGTACCAGGACTGATAGTTGATGCTGGAGCTGAACCTCCTCTTGTCCCCAGGTGACCAGCAGTCGCAGATGTTGGTGGCGATATAAAATTGTAGTCTCCTTCAGGAATAATTTTTACAAAATGTTATTAATTTGTTAAAATGATAAATGATGGTACAAACTAAAGGTCATGTGCAGATAATATCATTTAGTTTATGCAACTATTTGCACACACAAAACTGTTACCTTGACTTTCCCACTAGCAGGTTAATTCCATGAATATTATAAGGACATCATCGAGGAGTTTCAGTTCTGCCCTCAAACCACACAGGAAGCAGATATTTCTGTCACTATCATAAAATCATGCTCCAGTGATCACATCTTGTGTTGGAGACTTGTCTTATTCACAAAAGTTCTATAATTCATGGAATTTAAAGGCAATAAATTAGTTAAAGTTAAAAAGGTAAAGTCGACAGGACTGATTCAAATGCGCCCACATCCCATATGGCTCAGTCTCTCTCTACAGAGCGCACAGCTACCTGCCTAGAGTGTTGCAAAAAGCAAGAAGATCATACCTCTAGTGATGATCTCCTGTGGCCTTTGTAAAAATTGCACCCGTGAACTGAGCAATGCAGCGGAGAAATGAACCCTCACCTTCACATGGCAAGGCGAACAGCTTGACCACTTTGTCACCGAGAACCCCTGAGACAACATAATATGATCAAATGTAGGCCTCACCTTTCCCCAGAATACCATTGTGGCCCAAACTTTTGATCCGTGGTCTCCTTCTGACCCTATCACTGGACGGTTCTCTTGGAGGATGTGGTTGTTGAAAAGTGAGAAGCTTTTCTTTCAAACCTGAAACAAAATTAACATGTTGTCCTAAAGTTTAAAAGATAATTTTCACAATATTAAGCACTGTTCATTTTTAATTCTCCAAACAGAATTAACCTTCCATCATAAAATTATCTTAAGTAGTAATTACATTCCCCTTCCAAGGATCACAGTACTAATGTTTTCTTTGAATTGTTTATGTGGATCGAGCATCTTCCAGCTAGAGACAACAATTCCCATCTCCAATCTTGTAAGTGAAGATAAAGTCCAATCTTACTACAAACGTCCTTCTTTAATTCTCTAAATGTAGATAATGTTCTGTTTTCCAATCTTCTAACTAAAAATATCGTCGATTCCTCTAATCTATTACATTTTTTCAACTAGATAATGTCCTATCTCGAAATTAAAAATAAAGTCCCTTTCCGATACTCTACGCAAAAATGAAAAATCCTTTAGCATTATCTAACTTTACAATGCAATTTTGGTTTAAAAACAAAATACAGAAAAGAAACAAAAACAATATTACATTATATTATATGTATTGCATTTGCTGAAATACTGCCACATGTGTATGTTCTACTGAAGACAGAAGGCAACAGAAGCCCTTTAAAATGAACACCCCAATCCCGAAGTAGATTCCAAGGCCTGATAGGGGGTGGGGGGAATAGACCCCCTGGCGCCCCCCCCCCCCCCCCCCCGCAAGCATATTATACAAGGTGACTAACTAGGGGGGTTACCTTTGAAGTCAGAGTGCATCTGCCTGTGAGGTGAGGAACCAACAATCTGCATACCCAAAAAAAAAAAGGCAAGATCTTCTTCTTCTGCGTTCATCCGAAGATATGATTGTGTTGTGTCCGTTTACAGCATGGCTGCCGTATTTGCACCTTTCGGCCAACACATCTGACTTCTCCGGGCATTTGTTGACCGGATTGGCCTTCCCGGTTAGGTTAGGATATGGCAGTCTCATTGTTGTATGGTCATCTTTATTTCCCAGGTCACAGGTGATGCCCCAATCAGGCTGGTCCAGAGAAGCCACATAATGCTGATCAGCTCTCAAGAGTAGGCAGGGGCAGAACATGAGCATTCCCCGCCATCCAAGGAGGCTTCCACAAATGCAGAGCTAATACATGGTGCTCTGGTACTGGGCTCACCCAAGGAATCGTCACGTCCTGCTCATGACTGTTTAACCTGACTTCCATATATTGAACATCTCATACATCGTGGGCTATCTCTTTTGTAGCCAACAATATGCAGCCTGCAGACCTAGGATTTAGTTTACCTACACCACAAAATGAGCACTTTGCTTCTTTTGCATGTTAGACTTTTATTGCAGTGGACTTCCTCATCCACTATAGTTTTACGTGGTTTCCGAGCTCTGCATCTCTAGGGACTATCAGCTTCTTCATCCACTATAGTTTTACGTGGTTTCCGGGCTCTGCATCTCTAGGAACTATCAGCTTCCTCGTCTACTATAGTTTTACATGGTTTACGAGCTCTGCATCTCTAGGGACTATCAGCTCAGAGAATCCCAGAGTTTTATTCTTCTTATACCTTCAGATGTCAGTGTGGATATATTTGAAGAAATCAGCAGTCAACTTGAGGTTGTTGAAATCTCCACACAGTTTATCCTCAAAAGTTGCGGGTGTTAGCCAGAATAATTTTCTCTGTTCTGCATATGTTGGACACTCTTTCAGCAAGTGTTTAGCCATCATTTTATCCTTTCCACAGTTATAATCATCATTGTCTCCTATCTTTAGTTTATTGAACAAGTGGTGTTTCAGCCTATTGTGTCCTGTGCGGAGTCTAAAGATCACTACTTGTTCTCTTCGGCCAAGTTGGTAGTATGCATCATCCTTCTTGTAGCCTGGATGTTCAGAATCCCATTTGATTCTATATGTGCTTCTTATAAACCTCTTGGCCTCATCATATGTTATGTCTATATCAGGCTGTGGTAGTCTTCCACCTTCCTTTGCCAATCTGTCAGCCTCTTCATTTCCAGGTATGTTGCAATGGGATGGAATCCATTGTATTATGACTCTTTTTGATTTCTGACTCAGTCCATGGAGTGCAGCTCTAAGGTCTGCTAATTCAGTATCATTTTTGCTCTTCAGTGCTGAGACAACTGACTTTGCATCTGTGAAGATAGCTATGTATTCTTCTTTATTTTTCTCTGACAGAAGCATTTCTGCTGCAATTCTCAGGGCCTCTGCTCTAAAATTACTTGAGCACTTTCCTGTTGCAATCGACTGTGTTTTCTTTGATCCATTTTTTAGATTGAGGACGATTCCCCCACCTCCATTTTCTGTTGAATTTTTTGCTGATCCGTCTGTATATGCATGAGTCCAGGTGTTGCTTGGGTATTGTTCTTCTAAGTAGTTTAATGTGATTTTCCTTCTTTCTGTTTCATTCTGAGCATTCTTTTTCTCAATACCAGGAATATTTTCTATCAATTTAGGCAGATGCTGCTGTATCCATGCAGGGGGCATATATGTAATGTGGACGGGTTTGGATACTGATAAGTTAAGTACAGGATCTTCCCTGCTTTTAGTTTTTGCAGTCTCTACAAAGTTTTTTTCGCTTCAGTCTTTCCCTTCCCAGATGATTAAACCTTTGATACATGGGATGATCTGTCAGCCTTCTAAATTTTTCTGCTTGTTGCTGGGCTCTGCTGTCTCTCCTATCCTCCATTGGTTGCAGACCTGTGACTTTTTCTAGTTCATTCATAGGCGTTGTTTTCATGGCCCCAGTTATAATCCGCATTCCTTGATTTTGGACTCTACTCATTTTGATAAGGCAAGATCTGTGAAACAAATGTGCATGTAAAACTCAAGTACTGAAACAAGACCCAAGTCTAGAAGTGGATGAAAAATCAGAACTTTCTACCCGAGTTTACAGCCGCCAGTAAATGCACAGAAGAAGAAATAATCCAACATGGGTAATGGCTCAAACTGTCAGACGAGAGTTATGGGAATTCCCCATTTGTGTTCCAGGTCCTTGTTTTTGAGGAGGAGGGGGAGGCAGACGCACTACCCCATAAGTAACATGTCATTCAAGGGCACTAATTAAGGATTTGACAAAATCAGATGTGTTGGGTCTAAAGGCACAAATATCGCAGCCTAGTTGTAAAGCACAACACAATGTGTCAACTGCAACTGTACTTTTAAGAGGGACCGTTAAAAAAAAAGATAAGTTATTGGAAAGAAAAAGACGACAAAGAAAAAACAACTGTCTGATTGTTTACCATTAGTAATGTAGTTATAATGCTCCTGTGTAGCAGGTTCTGACTGCTGCCTGGTGTACTGTGAATCCAGGGACAAGCCATCGTGAGTTGAACAGACACCAGCTCCCCCTGGTGGTTGAGGTCTGACTGCTTCAAGGTGACCTGTGCCCATCTGTACCTCATCCAGACCGCTGTGACTGTCTGACAAACTGGTTCCCATGTTGCTGGAGTTGTCTGAAATAATAATACAACAGTCCAAGAAGAACACAGGAAAAACAGCAGACGCAAACAGAGGCAGATGGATATGTTTACGGACATTTAAGGGTTACACCAGAGTCAAGTCCCCATTTGGGTTCTGGGGCTCCAATTTGAAGAACAGACTCATTGTGCACACCCACCCCCCCCCCTTTCCTATGAGTATTTCATAAGATGTGACTTAATAGGGAGTTTTCCTTCAAAGTCAGAGTGCATCTGCCTGAGAGGTGAGGAACCAGCAGACTGCATGCAAAAAAGCCAGATCTGTAAAACGGATGTGGAAGCAAAGCTCAAATTATGGATCAAGACCAAAGTCCAGAAGTGGACGAAGAAACAGAACTTTCACAGCGAATGCCAAGATCAAGAAGATCAGAGTCGAGTGCGTGATTCGCTCATTGGAAATCTGTTATAAGATTGTGAGTTGTTGTTTTTTTTTTTTTTTGCGTTTAAAAGGGTGGCTAGCATGTTGTGCTGTAGCTCACAACCAGGCAGCACGTTTCGGCCCAATACAATTGATTTTCAGACCCCCTTAGTCGACTTTTACCACATATGCTAATTAAGCAGCAGTGATTAACCCTCCCCCCCCCCCCCCCCCTTCCACAAACTAGGCCCGAGGTGACTGTGAGATAAAACTCAACACGCGATGCACTGGCTGCCTGATCACTGTTGAAAAAGGCTTGCAAGTACTGGAGCAAGGCTGGTACAGACGCTTGCTTTCAGGTCTGGTACTGAAGAACCATCTCCATGGGGACTAAACTGTAGAACTCTCCTTCCACCTCCATCCCAAAGACTAAAAAAACTAATAAAGTGTGCAAGAATGATACCGGAACCTCCCATCTATAGAGAGGCACGACAATCTAGCTGTGGTCGAGACCCTTTCAAGTAAGTGAACAGTATGGAGGCACACATAGATCATCGCGGTCTTGAGAGAGCAATGCTGCGGATAATGACCCAACGACCTGGCCAAGAACCAACACTAACAGCAGAGTCAAGACAGATATACAATTAAAATGCTTCTGGAACATCAACATGAGAATTCACTCACTGAAGATAGGGATCCAGGAAAAGAAATTAGAGGAAAAGGCACATTTAAAAATCAGGTAATCTGGTCATCTTAGTTTCAGATGCATAGCAGATGGGTCACCCCATAGCTGCTCCGGTCCTGTGCCAAAGAAGAACACAGAATGTCCGCCACCACTCCTTGCTGAAAAAAATGTGGTATAAGCTTGTGAGTGTGTCTGTATGTGTGTATGTGTTACATTTTTCCGAAGACCACAATGATCTACTCACTTTCATTCTGGCCTGTTTGAGACCGAACACTTCTGTTTGTGAGGCCACTCTGAAACTGTCTGGAAGTTTTCCTGCCAGATTCCGGAGCCCGTGGAGCCTTGGAACCAAAGGCAATCTTGCCATCAGATGCTGGAGCTCTTCTGCCACTGACACTGAGATCCAGGTCAGGCATCGACCCGGACTTAAACTGTTCTGAGAGTGCTGGGCCTTTAGCTGATCTTATTCTTTCCGCATTCCTGATTTTAGTAACTGTGAAGACCTAAACTCCATCATCAGAGACAAAATAAACTGTCATTACAGCAGACAACAGCACTTCCAGTGAAAGGAAATGTTTTATAAGTGATATAGGAAAAAGTGCCACTTTCATATATTAGTATAAACAGTTCATGAGAGGACATGGCTACGACCGGTGTCAGACCTAGTCTTGTTCTATTTTTTTTTCATTTTTGGAAGAGATTAAAAAGAAAATTTAGAAATTATATAAAGATTCAGACTGAAACCAGTCATATAATTAATTAAAGAACAACTAATGAGATGATCTTGTCATGTAACAAGAATGACGGTAACAACTGTATCAGAAAGCTACATGGAGAAATATAAAGGACACATAGCAAGGGGATGAGCAGGCAAAGTATGGAGAAACGGCATCAAGAACAGCCTTACAGAAATGAAGACCAACTTGAAGCGCACAATGGAAAGAGGATTGAAAAAAAAACATAATTTTCCCAACACTTTGATCATGTAAGTGAAGGAGAAGGGGGAAAAGAAGTTATGAAATAAAAGTCTCTTTCACAAGTGGGCATAAGAGTAGAGGAATGAGGCCCATTTTTCGGACACTCACATTTTCAATGTATTGTTACTGACAAAAAGATGTTTAATAAAATAATGTACGAAAAGGGAGTTAAGAAGGGTAGAAGATTAGACGGGCCTGGATGCCCAATTATTTACCATCATTATCACCAATTTCCACTTCTGTTGTTTAGTGTTGCGGGGAAGAACAGTTTGCAAGGCTCTGCTCAACGGATAGCATTGGCTTCTGTCATTCCATGTCAATGCAGAATGCGTTTAATATTATCTATCCACTTTCCTTTGGCAGCCTTCTTGATTTCACATCAGATCTTAGATGTACAACATGACCCAATATTTAGGTTTAAAAAAAAAAAGTTTGATCATTTATTTATAGTGACCTTTTGCCCCTTAGGCAACATGCTGCACAAATTATGGGAATCTTCTTTTTCACTGGCTGTAAACTCCAGCGGAAAGTTCTTTGTTGTTCATCCACTTCAGGACTTTGGTCTTGCTCCAGAGCTTGAGTTTTGTGTGCAAATCCGTTTTGCAGATCTGATTTATTTGAATTCAGACTGTTGGTTCCTCTTTTGGGCAGATGCACTCCGACTTCCAAGGCAATCAGAGAGTTAAGGAGACATGTCTTTTGACACTGAGATGTGTATTTTGATATTGCTGAAAAACTATAATTGTCTGGCCTTGATCTTGGTGAGGAATATTCTCGCAGGTTATAAGAAGGAATTGATTCAAGAACCTGGTCAAAACTGGCAAGACCGAGGGGGAAAAAAGGGCAAGAGAAGTAAATCAACAAATAACTGGACAGCTTGGTCATATGGTTGGGGGAAGAGACAATAGCACTGACATGGTCCATGATTCTAGTGATTGTGTGAGAAAGCAAAACATGCCTATGCATATTGGCAGGGAACATTATGATGATGACAATGACCCAGGTCATAACAATAATTGCAGAACCCACAAACCTGAGTTTGCTGAGCCACACCAGGTGTCATCTGGCACTGCTTGGGGATACTGTCCAGATCTCCACTGTTGCTACTGCAGTAGCCAAACAGCTCTGTTGGAAACAACATAAACCTTTCTTTGACAAAGAAATAAATGGGTCACCATTTTTCCCCACCATGACAGGGCTTCAAATGAAAACCTTAAAATCATAATGGAAGTTACAATAACCAAGCCACTGTCTTGTAACATGTCAATATTGTTCTTAAGGTTTTCAAAAGGTCACGGATTAAAATCCAGGACAAGCTCCCAATTGTCAAAGGTCGAGAGGTGGGTACAAGGTCAGAGCATGTGTGTACAAGGTCCACTCAGCTGCTCTGATGTACTTTCTCCCCTCAGGCAGCCAGTTAGGTTTCCTCCCATTCCCTGATCTTTCCTTCACCTCTAATTATGATGTTATGATATGATGATCTCCACTACTAAGCCGGGTGAAGGTATAATATTCTGCTGTGACGTCTCAGACTCTCTTGATCACAGTTTTCACAACAACAGGCTATCTCAGGACTCTTTCAAGTTGTACAGAATAACAAACAGCGGCATAGTTCTTTCAACATCATCTAGTTCTATAATAGTCATCACAGTTAATGCATTTACACAAATGTCCTCACTACTACTAGCTCAACTATCACTATAGTATAGCCACACTGCAGTTGTCCAGAGTGTCCACTAGGACATCCGGTCAACCACATCCTTAGCCGGCTCTGGACCTGTGCTCACTTCCTTTACTTCAGGTGGTCCAGGTGGCTTCTGAGGCTTGTGTGCACACCATGACAATCACATGTTTAGTGTTCTGCTGGCAGTCTTGCACTCATCCAGTCACCACCCCTACCCCAATCATGACACCCCCTTATTCAAAAAGAAGTAGGATTTCTGTTAAAATATCCTTAGCTGAGGTGACTAGTTACCTTAATAAAGTCAAGGACCCTTTTCCTGTCAGTGGCGCCTGAGTCATATTATGATAGATTTATTCTGCTATAGACCTATGGCCCTTGATGGGTGATGTGCTCAACATCATGCTGGCTGTCTTTACCTCCCAGGACGTTACCTGATAGCTATTTTATGCTGGGGTGACTGGCGGACAATGTGATTTTAGGGGACAATCCAACTCTATGCAGATTCAAACCTAGAATCTTTGGGCTGGCAGGCAGAGCCACTACACCAGTATGGCTTCCAACTAGTTACCTTACTCACCCTCAATCCCTTTTCCAGCTTTTAATAAAGTGAAGTTATTATGTCATTACTGATACTTTTTTTTCTGTGTTTACCTTAAATAGGCAGTTGGTATGTTGTGGTTTATAGCTAGGTATGCTGCAATATCTGTGTCTTTTGGGCCCAAAACATAAAATGTTAGCAAACATCTTCTTTTCCTGCTGGATAGTGCTTCTCATAATTTTGCAAATGCCAACATAAATTACATCAGCATGGAGGAAACTTCTAGAAAACCTTACCATCATCATCAGTTGTGTCTGGAGGCTGTGACTTCATAGTGAAAACACGTCGCAGCTTGCAATTGGCTGATACCGATATGTGATCTATGCATCGAAATGTCTGATTGGTCCAGGTTTCTCCAATGAACGACACCATGTCAATCACCAGGTTCAGCCACTGAAAATAACTGGATGTTTCAACAGAGAACCACCGGCTAAGATTCACAAGGGTAAGGGTAAGGACACAAGGTCATATGACTACACAAATACTGTCAATAGAAACAAATTTGCAACAGCCAAAAAACGCTGAGGTTGGTTCTGCAAGGTCCTGTAAAGGCTATACAACTAACTTTGCTGGAAAGCAGTGAGTTTATTCTTTGCCCCACAACTGGTGCCCCCAGAACCCACACTCGTGTCCTCAGAACTCACACTGGTTCCCCCAGAACCCACACTGGTGACCTCAGAACTCACACTGGTTCCCCCAGAACTCACACTGGTGTCCCCAGAACCCACATTGGTGACCCCAGAATCTACACTGGTGAACCAAAAACCCACACTGGTACCCCTAGAACCCACAATGGTGCTCCAGAATCCACACTGGGAGCTTTCTCATCTAAAAACCACTAAAAGGAGACCAATAAGAAGCATCAGATTTGTTAAAACATCATTATGTGTGCCATCTAAAAGCCTCAAACCTATGACTTCCACAATACAGCTGCAGACCCTAGACTGCTTGCGTATTACCAGGGCCCATGCGAGAAGCAAAGAACAGTCGATCAGTCATGCTGTAAAGTATAAAGCATGTCATAAGAGACAACCATAAAAGTTGTGACTTACCACAGCTCTTCTGACAATGGTCAGGGGAAATTTGGCATGAAGTGGAGTCACTTGTGTTTCTTTCTGAGCCGTTGACAGCAAAATCCTTCTTTTGTTGTTTCCAAGATCTGTTGCACTTTAAACACACACAAAAATGCAGTCCATTAAATAATAAGTGCTACAGTATAACAAAGGGAAATTTCGGTTATGGTGAATTTCTGTTGTGAAGAACAATTTGTTTATCCCTGGCAATTACTATATACTTGAAGTATTATCTGGATAAGAGGAACTTCTGATAAGAAGAACTATTTCTTGGATTATCAGTAACTTTCCTTATTAGGTCTGCACTGTACTTATATACAGAAATTCTTACATTAAACATACTGTGGTATTCTTTTTGATAATTCAGCTTTTAAACAGGAGAATGTAAGGATGCAGTCTGAATAGAAATTAGTCTTTAAAGACTTTTGTGTATGCTTTATTTAAACTTATCTCCTTCAAAAATAATTCTCTGGACTCTTTATACATAGATCCCAACATGTCTTCTGTTTCTGAATGTATCCTTGCAAATGACTGGGGGTGGGGGGGGGGGGGGGGGGGGGGGGGGGGGGGGGGGGTTGCAGGTCTCCGTGATCACTTCTGAGTACTGGATTTCTCCAAGATTTACTCTGGTTTGAAATGTTGAATTAACATGATAGATGTTAAATCTATCTATGAAAATTACAGCTCACCAACTTTTACAGATTTTACCTCTTCCAACACTTGCCGAATTTAGTTTGGATCGACCAGGAAGACCTTTTTAAAAAGTGGCCATCTTGATGAGGATCCAAACGTAAAACCTTTAGATTGACAGGTAGATATGCTGGGGTCTGTGCTAGCTCAGCTGCTGTCACTCTTCAAGCTCAAAAAACAGAAATGCTGAGCAAAAAGATTTCTTCTTCTCCTTTTCATTGACCGACTGTAAAAGTTCTGGTTGTTCATCAACATTTAGATTTCAGTCTTGTTCCAGAATTTTACATGCACATTCGTTTTACAGAACTGGCTTATTTGTAAGCAGATTGCCAGTTCCTTGCCACTCAGGTAGATGTGCTCCAACTTTGGAGGAAAGTACTTACTTAATCAGTCACCTTTTATGGCATGCTTTTTATTGAAGCAATGGGTCTATCTATTTCCCTAGAATGGAGTTCTATAACCTACAAGGGGCAAGATAAATGATGTGAAAACAAGAAGATGTCTAAGCACTCTGTGATCAGTGTTTCTTACCCAAGTTCCAGGGAAAAGTCGACTCCTTTTGGCAAATACAGCTGTAGTACCAGAAACCTTTGAACCAAAGACACTGAAACAAGAATGTAGACAAACTATCAGAGTTTTCTAAGAAATGATTAAGGAGTGTTCACATGGCTTATACGTGTTCATTACAAAACTAAACAACGCCTCCTCGTGGGTGCCAGGGTCCCATTTTTGTTTTGGGAAAGGGGGGGGGGACCACTGCTCCTTAACCAGCAGATTGTAAAAGGCGACTAACCAAGGATTTGCTGACACTGAATGTGTTGACTTTGCCAGGCAGAGAGAAGAAATCTGGCCCACAGGAGCGTCCCAACAAGATACACTACCGGGAAAAGTTTATGACCCACATTGGAATAAATGCAGCCACTGATCACTGAAGAAGACGGATGTCTTTAGCAAAAAGGTGTAGACATCACAGCCTTATTGTAAACCACAACACAAAGTACCATGCTGCCTTTTACGGACAAACTTGAACTTGAAGAAGAAGATGAACAAGAAGAAGAAGAAGAAGAAGAAGAAGAAGGATGTCTTTAGCCGAAAGGTGTAGACATCACAGCCTTATTGTAAACTACAACACAAAGTACCATGCTGCTTTTTACGGACAAACTTGAAGAAGAAGAAGAGGATGAAGAAGAAACAATCACTGATGGAAGAAAGCAGCTTCTGTAGAACAATGATGCCTAGCAATATCTTCTAACAGAAATGAACGTTTCTGAAATCATTGTTAAGTAAGAGAGGTACTTTGGTCAGAAGAAAGCTTAAAATTCTTTGATAGCCAAAATGAGTAATTCAGATGTTTTGCAAGTGGCAAGGGCCTGAAGACAAATTATCACAAACATCAGAAAGAGACTGATCATTTTGGCCAAGTTATGATAAAAAAAAGAAACTGGAACTTGTTGTGACCACTGGAAAGATTTGTGGAAAGAGAGACAGAAGAAGACATAGCCTTTGGTACATGGTGTTGGAGATGTGAGATTGTGGTATGCATGATTCCCCCCTCCCCTCCCCCGGTCAGTCAGCCAGCCACTTGATGATGATGATGATATTAAAATCTACCAGAAACAATAATCTAAAAATTGGAATGGGGGCGGGAGGGGGGGGGGGTTAGAAAACACGAAAGGTATGTAATACACATATGTAGATACAGTCAGGATACAGTCTAGAAGAATGTACAACATCAAAATATGGTCAGGATACAGCAAAAGAGTTCAGAAAAGAAAATGCTGGTGATCTACTTGATGACCATAATATGTTTCTATAACTGATGTGGTGGTTTCCAGTTGCCTTCCACATCCACAGAAAAGGATGTACACATAATATAAAGTCTACCATTGGTAGCTGTTAATACTTACAGCTCTGTTTTTGATCCTTCGGGGACACAAGTTTAGTTGTTGCCGGCGATCCTTCTAATGTCAGTATAAAGCCTTTGACATCTTTTTCATAGATCTGGAGGAAAAAAAAAATCACCATAGCAATATCTCACTGATATACCTGTAGTAAATGGCTGCATATGTGTTTGTGACATATATGTTGGTGACACATATGTTTGTGACATATATATCTGTGACATATATGTTTGTAGAAAAGTCAAAACAGAACAAATTCTAAATTACATACAAAGAAATCAAATGAAATGGTGTGTCCACTTAGAGAGAATGCCTTGTGACACCATATGATACATGGCATATACCTTAAGAGGAGAAGGCCACAGACATGAGGCAGACCAAGAACAATATGGAAAGATAACTTCTTCTTCTTCGTGTTCACCAGCTGTAAACTCTGGCAGAAAGTTCTGGTTGTTCATCCACTTTCAGACTGCAGCCCTGTTCTAGAACCTGAGTGTTGCGTTTGCATCCGTTTTACAAATCTGACTCATCTGTATGGAGACTGTTGGTTCCTTGCCTCTCAGGGAGATGCATTCCGACTCTGAAGCAAGCTCCCAATACGTCGACTGTTACGACATGCTTTTAAGTAAGCAGTGGTTCTATTCTTGTTTTCCCTATAATAGGGCCCCGGAACCCACATGGAGGTGGGGGGGGGGGGGAAGATAACTATCAGAGAAACTCTACAACAACACAATGTGTCTAAGGTCAAGGCGGCCAGAAAAGCAAGAAGAACCTAACATCTCTTTTGACACCCGAAGCGGTGAAAGATGAAGTGAAGATGGAGGAAAAAGAGAAGAGTATAAATGTTTACATGCTAAAATGTCTATTATTCATACACCACTACCATTAAATTTGACAGTCACCTTTTTTATCCCCGAACTGGACTCCTTCCAGCTGTTCATAAAATCACGGCCCTGGGTACTCAACAGTTCAAAGTACGGACCTCCCTGTTGATCATAAAATAAACACATAACATCACATCAGAAAAAAAAAAAATACAAACTAGAAACACAATTGTAATGACATTACAGAAAACATACCCAGAACACTGGGGAAACGTATGTTCAGCTTAACATACAACAGGGGAATTTTCAGGTGTAGTCTGCCAGGCTCCCTTTGTTCGTTTTTTGTGTCCTAGCCTTTTCTAATCCATAAACATAACTGAAGCTCTAATGCAACATGACAAATTCAAGCAGGGAAGAAAGATACAGACCTTATGCTGCCTTTAAATGGATACCACTAGCAAGCTCAGGTGCTGGTTTTACAGACCCCCATGGAAGACTTCTGTCATACTGCCTGGTTGTATAGCATGGACATGGCCACCACAGGCCTCAACAGAAAATCTCTAGCCATGTCACCCCGAGGAAAGCCGCCGTGGTGTAGCAGCTAGGCTAGACACTCATCTGCCGATCGGAAGGTCTTGGGTTCGGGTTCTAATGAAGCTGGACTTTTTTCAAAAAATGACTTTGGCTCCCTGGTCGACCCCCCCCCCCCCCCCCCCCCCCCCCGTCTTGAGTGGGTACCAGGTAAAGTTCTGGGAAATAAGACTGTTGACCACATCCCCCACCAAGTGCTGATTGGTCTATAAAATACAGGTCTTGCCCTACATGCCCAATACCCCTGAAGCCGTTAAAAAGGGTCCTTTACTTTTATTCACCACAAGATAAATGCCGATATACCAGCACTGCTGCAGTGACCTCTTCTCAAAAAGCCTTGTTAAATGCGATTGGTTTTGTCTGCACCTGCACGGTGTTTAGAAGGCCTGGATATTAATACATTAACTAAAAATAACATCTACAGAGATTTATCTGTGAACCATCCATATGTTTGTGAGGTTCATAAGGGAACATTCAGCTATCTTAGGTTATCCATGGTGGGTCATAAACTGGGATGTCAGCTCAAAATCTGTTACATTTCCCAAAGCTTCTTCTTCTTCGCGTTCACCAGCTGTACACTGGCGGAAAGTTCTGGTTGCTCGTCCCCTACTGAACTGCAGCCCTGCTCTAGAACCTGAGTGTTGCGTGTACATCAGTTTTACAGATCTCATTCTCTTGAATACAGACTGTTGGTTCCTTGCCTCTCCGGCAGATGCACTCCTACTTCAAAGGAAGCTCCCCAATTAGTCGACTCTTACGACATGTTTTTGGGGAGGCAGTGGGTCTATTCTTGTTTTCCCCACAATGGGGCCCTGGAATCCACACGGGGGTCCCCAAAGCTCAGTTGTAAGGTTTACAGGGTGAGTCCTAATGTTGCTTTACCAGAAGGGGAAAGTCTTGCAAAAGGTGTTTTGGAGTCTGTTAAACAGAAAAATGCTAGCAGAGAGCTGTTTGGCTCATACATAATTTTTATCTTCTTCAGCGATCTATTGTCATGCACTTAACCCACCATGGGCCATAAACTGGGATATCAGTTTGAGGTCTCTTAGGTTTCCCCAAAGCTTAGTTATCAATTCTACTGGGTGTGGCCACATGTTGCTTCAAAGCTCCTTCAGGAGAGGACAGTGTTGCATGCCTATTTTATAAAATTATTTTTTGAGTTTACAATGTCCTGTCGGTAAGCAAAAAGGGAATCAAATGATAACCTAATATGTATGTTGCTTAAAAGAAGTTGGAGATTCTCAAATAAAATGTTACAGAACGATTCTTAGGATAAAGGATATATCAACATCCTACAGGATCTGATCCTTCCAGGCCTGTACTGGGCTTAAAAGTCCTTTCTGGACTTAGAAAGAATGGTCCTCATCACTTTTGATGGACGAACAACACATGATCTGAAAGGTGAGGACCTGGCTCATAAACAGCACTGTGACCCGAAAGCTGAGGTATTCTGGCAACATTAAACCTCATGGTGGGCTGGAAATAATGATGAGGGAGGGTACAATCTCCAGAAAATGAGGCAGAAGCCAAACTCCAAAAGATGGCTACAAGACTGCCAATTACTGCCTTTGTTATAACACTTTTGTGGTGTAGGCAGGGGGATCTTTGAGCCGCATGGCTAGTGCTGTCACCACGACTGTGCAGGTGAGGGTTTTATTTTACACCTGACAGAAAAAAAATCTCCAGCCTTACCGAGGATTCGAACTCGGGTCTCCCGAGTGAGAGCTCAGCATTCTAACCATTTGGCCAACCGCTCCTCAGATACAAGACACTGAAGATATATTGGCTATGAAATCACACAGGGCTGGAGAATAGGCTAGACACAGAAAGACTTTCAAGTGCACCATGGCAACAAATATTCCATAAAGAACCCGTTGATTAATTATGATAATGATGATGAAATGTAGGAGGTGCCAAACCGGGGTTGGATGTGAGTCTGGACAGCTCATCCCTTAGAAAACATTTGGTGCAAAGTCCAAGTTGTCATGAACATGTCTACAGAGGTGTTGGCATAAGTTATCTGAGGCCTCTATACCTTGTGGAGATGGAGGCAGAAGAAAGAAGGCAGTATACCTGAAATCCACTTTTAAAAGACATCATGTAGTGTATATCCCTGGTGTCAAGATGTCAGTGAATCTTTTCATGTGTTCTCATGGGTATCTGATTGGCCAACATGCCAATGTTTCTAGTTTGGGGAAATTCTGAAAAAGCATGATCACAATGGTGTCAATTAATATTCATTATATTATTTATCTTCACTCTCAAATTATCACATCCATGTTTGAAACTGGCAGACTAGTCCAAGTGACTCTTGTCAGAATACAGATTGTCCTTTAGTTAGAGTAGAAAAGATTCTCATCACTTTGTTTATCTTATATTGAACTTCTACTCCATAAAGACAGCAGAGAAAATGAGACATGTTGCACTTTAATTATCCCTTTCACATGGATTCTAGTCAGACAGGAATTGAACTGTACCAGACGTGTGTTAATTTAGCTCATTAAAACCTAAGCAAGTTGTTATTTAGCTCACTAAAACCTAAACAAGTTGTTACTTCAGCTCACTAAAACCTAAACAAGTTGTTACTTCAGCTCACTAAAACCTAAACAAGTTGTTACTTTAGCTTACTAAAACCTAAACAAGTTGTTACTTCAGCTCACTAAAACCTAACCAAGTTGTTACTTTAGCTCACTAAAACCTAAACAAGTTGTTAGTTCAGCTCACTAAAACGTAAACAAGTTGTTACTTTAGCTCACTAAAACCTAAACAAGTTGTTAGTTTAGCTCACTAAAACGTAAACAAGTTGCTACTTTAGCTCACTAAAACCTAAACAAGTTGTTACTTTAGCTCACTAAAACCTAAACAAGTTGTTACTTCAACAAATAAATGTTCATTTATAAATGTGAACAAATATTATAACAAATAAACCTTACACACACACAAAAACAAATAAATGTTCATTTATGTAGGAGTTAAAATAATAAGATTAAGAAAACAGAAGATTTGAAGTAGTACCTGGAAGCTAACTGGGTTAATATAACAGCATGGTGGGGGGGGGGTGTCAAGTTGGTAAGAGAAAATGGGGGTCAAGAAAAGGTGTAAGGGGGTGGGTCAAGTGGGCCAGAGAAGTATACCAGGTCAACAGAGACCAACAAACTCATGGGGCAAATATCTACTACTGATAAAGTTAGGGCTTTTTTATTTGCAACATCCTCTCAATAATTGAGATGGTTTTCCTATAAAAAGTATCAAGGAACTTTGACCTGTGGTGATGATTTATTGACAGCAATGTTCAAACAGTCTTGCATTAAGTTATTATCATAATTATCATCTGCCATCTCACTTGATTATCAGAATCAAAGATAAGGTCAGTTATCTTGTCTCACTGCATCCATATGGCTAAATCATTCAGATATGTATCCATTTGTTCCCTTCTCCCCTTTTGCTCTGTTTCCATTAATCATGCCAGCGTGCCATTTGTTCCCAAGTCTAATCATTCTCCCCTAAAATATTCTATAAACAACGACTGTGTACACTCACATATTCTCATCACTTTACATACTTTATTAAAATTCGTCTATGGTCGTTTTAATGTTTTATTTCATTGTGGCTGCCTTCAAGAACAGAAACTTATGTAGTAGTGGTCTGACTTGTGTACTGTAACTGTAAGTCTTGAGACTTCACCACTCACCACTCAAGCTAAGCTGTCAACTACCCAGCAACGATCGGACCGTCCAGGGAAGTAATGTTGCTTTATACAATATCAGCGCACAATAAATCAAGGATAACATGAAATCTCCGTGTATTTACTGATGAACTACTTATCTAGAAAGTATAAATCACAGCGCAACAGTACCCACACAAAACGGTACATTGAAGCCTTTTTTCAGAACCCAGGCGCCATTTTCCAAGCACTGTTGTTGTCAACATAGAGGACTTCCGGGAAGATAATTCCCCTTATGCCCATTGTTGGCCATCTATTGGAGATTTTTTATTGTTCATTTCGCAAATCATTAATTAACCACCATGTCACGTTTGACTTCCGTTTTTTTTTTTTTTAAATCACTCAGATGCCGTCTCAACAATAAAGGTTGGCTAAAAAAAGAGGGAGCTAGAACAGATCCATTGCCTAACAAGCATGAAGCAGGAGTCAACTAATTGGATGGGTGGGGTGTGGGGGTGTCGTTTGAAGTCGGAGTACATCTGCCCGAGGCAAAAAGGTCTACATACAAATAAGTAAGATCTGTAGAACCGATGTGCACACAAAATTCTTGTTCTGGGACAATGTCTAGAGTCCCGAGGTGGACGAATAACTAGAATTTTAAACCGGAGTTTACAGCCGGTGAACGCGAAAAAGAAACAACAGTGAAATCAGTAGATTGTTCTTCCAAAAACAGCCATAGTAAACCTGTCCCGTCTGGATCACAAACAGGACGTTTTCTCTGTGGTAGCCACCGGTTCCCCACAGCGATAGGTTAGTTGCACGTCCAGCTGTATCTAAAGATGGCCGTGGTTGGTTGCATATCCTTTACAGGACGTTTTCTCTGTGGTAACCACCGGTTCCCCACGGC